TAACCCAGTCCTTCTTTTCACTGTAGACAAGCCATGATCTGCTTCTCTGTTCTCCATTTTTCATTTGGATGAAATAATAGCTGCATGAATCATGACAGCAGACAAGATAGAGGAGAGCAGGAGGCGGGGTTACCAATCTACTTGCTCTGGAGAGCAGAGTTCGCTGCTTTTAGATGTTGTCTCCAAAGTCTCCAGTAGCAGAAAAAAGTTGCTAGATTTGGCGCTAGGAGCTTTTTAGAAATCAAAGTGCTAGAGGGGTCTGAAAAGTCGCTAAATATAGCAACTAAAGTTCTGAGCCCTTTCTTATTTCCTGTGGGCAGGTTGACAAATAAGGTTAAACAGAAATCTCCATAAATTGTGAAGTTTGCAGATGACATATTGATCTGCAGTGAGAGCAGGTAAGAAGAGGAGGACAATCTAGAGAGAAAGGGGTTTTCCCTGGAAAGAGAAGGAAAAATGGGCAAACATGAGGGGCGGGAGAGGAGCCATGGGGTTCCAGGGAAAGAAGACAAAGTAGAGACAGGAGGCGGAGCTAGAGGAAGCAAAGAGGAAGATGGCAAGGATGGATGGAATCAGGATCACACCTCAGGGTCAGCTCATGTTTACAGATAAAGACAGACTGAGATGGTTTGGACCATCTGCTGAGAGGGAGACTACAGACCAGGAGAACTAAAGGAAGACCAAGGAGGAGGTTAATGGATGGAGTTAAAGAGGAGGTGAAGTAGATGCAGACGATAGTTGGATGGAAACAGACGAGTCACTGTGGCGAGTCCTGAAAGGGAAAAGCTGACAGACAAAGGAGAGGGCATTTCTCGAAGCACTGTGTGCCGGAATATGAATAAAAACAAGAAATAACCGATAAGCTGAAGAGAGACGTCATCATGGTCAGCAGCTTCCTCAGCTGGGATGTATAAAGGTTTATGTTTTTATTTTACACATATATTTATTGTTGTGAAAAGTGATGTACGTCACTCAGAATGTAATGCTTTACAGTTGTTACCCTTTCCTTGGTGACAGTGTACAATTTAACAAGTATTATACAGCACTTTAACAATTTACATTTTTCTAGTTTTATAAATGCAATCCCTGTGCCAGAAAAATAAAAAAAATAATTATTATATAATAGAATTGAAAAATATCCCAAGATGAAATTATTTAAAGCTTGTTTACTAATTAGAGGCGAGAGATGTAAGTGGCCTAGTGGTTAGGGCATAGCGTCTGGAAACCTGAGGTTGTGAGTTCAGGCCTCACTCCCACAGGCTGCCACTCTGGGTCCCTGAGCAAGACCCTTAATCCCACACTGCTCCCCGGATGCTGCACAATGGCAGCCCACTGCTCCCCTAGAGGATGGGTTAAGTGCAGAAAGATTGACAATGAATAGCTGGAAGTTTTTCAGGGTCCCATACTTTGTAAAATTTTTATTGATACTCTTAGAAAGTTTTAAACTTTTAAAATTTTTTGGAACATTGTCATATCAGAAAGCTACACTGATGCCTTTGGTGGTAATTGGGATTTCCATTCTCCTTCGAGCAATCAGTTGCAGAAGCGATAACCTTTATCTCCCGAGTAGCTATTCATGGTTTCCCATCAAACAGGATGGCGAGTCTAGAAAAGCAGCCAGAGCTGCAATAAAAGAGTTTTAATCAAAGGATGTTTCAGTGATAGAAAGGCCCATTTCACTCAGTCAAAGACTTTCTTCACCCTTTATGACTGAGTTTAAGCTGTTTTAGAAAGAAAAATAAAATCTGAGTTTGCAATGCTTCACTCACAAGGAAAGGAAGTGGACCTCAGAAGTGTGTTAAACGTATTAACAAGAAATACTGGAGCAAATGACTGTAAGATCTTGATCCATGGACTGGAGAAAGATGCAGTGACCATGTTGCATCCTGCTTTTAAAGTCCACCGAGATTTGAACCCGCAGCAGGTTTGACTGCGGCTCATTCCACGTGTGGAAGGTTGGCTTCTCTGTCCAAGGTATTTACATCAGTGACTTAAGTAACACTGAACAGCTTTGCTGATCCAACCTCCTTCCCCTCCTGCTTAAAGCGTGCAACTGCAAACCAAGGTGCAGCTCTAAACACTTCACCATTGCAAAAAGTGAAATACTCTGACGTTCATCTCAAAAATTTTAATATTAAACATTAATTAGAATCATAACACAAAGAGTGAAATATTCCAGACCTTTATTTTATGTCATTTTTAACAGATCATAAAATCCTAAACATATAGTCTGTGAAAATTAGAACACTATGAAAATGTTTGTTATATAAAACTTTATACCACAAAGCCTTCCATGAAGATTCCTGCTGGGACATTGCATACCTAGAACTGGGCTTCGTCTGAGCTTTCTAATATTAATTATACTGAAATATAGTAAAACCTGCCAGCCATTCTGTTTTTTATCCATGCTTCTTTTTCTATGTCTGCTTCTGTCTCCTTGAACCCCAGTCGGCCTCAGCAGATGGCCGCTCAAAGGGAGCTGTTCAAAGGGAGTTTTTCCTCTCCACTGTCGCTACAAGCATGCTTAGTATGAGGGATTGCTGAAGAGTCAATGAGTCGATGCAATCAGCTGGTTTTCCTTAGATAGAAAACTTTGAATCAATCTGACTGGATGATCTGGTTGAACTGGAAAGTAAAATAAACTGAATAGAATTGAACTGACATGCTGTGATTGAAACCACTAACACAAAGTAGGGAGGCATCAGGTATTCATTTCACCATTTATTGTTTATTCAGATTAGGGCAGCAACCAATGGTTATTTTGCACATCGATTAATCTGTGGATAATTTTTTTCAATTGGTTGAATTATAATCTACCGTAATAGCCAAAGATTCCTTAGAAAATTTTTTTTATGAAATTGAACCAGGTGAAACTAAAACTTTTCCACTTGAGGAGTTCTGGATTTTATAGCAGATGATGGATGAAATTTTACTTTTTTATGTTAAATGAGAAAATGATTATACAGGTGCTGGTCATAAAATTAGAATATCATGAAAAAGTAGATTGATTTCAGTAATTCCATTTAAAAAGTGAAACTTGTATATTATATTCATACATTACATACAAACTCATATATTTCAGATGTTTATTTTGTTTAATTTTGATGATTACAAATGACAACAAATGAAAATCTCAAATTCATCATATCAGAAAATTAGAATATTACTGAAGACCAATAAAAACAAAGGATTTATAGAAATGTTGGCCAACTGAAAAGTATGAACATGAAAAGTATGAGCATGTACAGCACTCAGTATTTAGTTGGGCCTCCTTTGGCCTGTATTACTGCAGCAATGCGGCGTGGCGTGGAGTCGATCAGTCTGTGGCACTGCTCAGGTGTTATGATAGCCCAGGTTGCTCTAATAGTGGCTTTTAGCTCTTCTGAATTGTTGGGTCTGGTGTATTGCATCTTCTTCTTCACAATACCCCATAGATTTTCTATGGGGTTAAGGTCAGGAGAGTTTGCTGGCCAATTAAGAACAGGGATACCATGGTCCTTCAACCAGGTACTGGTAGCTTTGGCACTGTGTGCAGGTGCCAAGTCCTGTTGGAAAATGAAATCTGCATCTCCAAAAAGTTGGTCAGCTGCAGGAAGCATGAAGTGCTCTAAAACTTCCTGGTATGTGGCTGCGTTGACCCTGGACCTCAGAAAACACAATGGACCAACACCAGCAGATGACATGGCACCCCAAACCATCACTGACTGTGGAAACTTTACACTGGACTTCAAGCAACGTGGATGAAGTGCCTCTCTTCTTTTCCTCCAGACTCTGGGACCTTGATTTCCAAAGGAAATGCAAAATTTACTTTCATCAGAGAACATGACTTTGGACCACTCACCAGCAGTCCAGTCCTGTTTCTCTTTAGCCCAGGCAAGACGCTTCTGACGCTGTCTGTGGTTCAAGAGTGGCTTGACACAAGGAATGCGACAGCAGAAACCCATGTCTTTCATACGTCGGTGTGTGGTGGTTCTTGAAGCACTCACTCCAGCTGCAGTCCACTCTTTGTGAATCTCCCCCACATTTTTGAATGGGTTTTGTTTCACAATCCTCTCCAGGGTGCGGTTATCTCTCTTGCTTGTACACTTTTTTCGACCACATCTTTTCCTTCCCTTCGCCTCTCTATTAATGTGCTTGGACACTGAGCTCTGTGAACAGCCAGCCTCTTTAGCGATGACCTTTTGTGTCTTGCCCTCCTTGTGCAAGGTGTCGATGGTCGTCTTTTGGACAACTGTCAAGTCAGCAGTCTTCCCCATGATTGTGTAGCCTATAGAACTAGACTGAAAGACCATTTAAAGGCTTTTGCAGGTGGTTTGAGTTAATTAGCTGATTAGAGTGTGGCACCAGGGGCCATCAATTTTGAACCTTTTCACAATATTCTAATTTTCTGATATGATGAATTTGAGATTTTCATTTGTTGTCATTTGTAATCATCAAAATTAAACAAAATAAACATCTGAAATATATGAGTTTGTATGTAATGTATGAATATAATATACAAGTTTCACTTTTTAAATGGAATTACTGAAATCAATCTACTTTTTCATGATATTCTAATTTTATGACCAGCACCTGTATATTTTTATAATTTTGATGTAATTCCTGCTGTAAGCTCTGTCAGCTAAAAGCATGTTTTAGAGTCTCTATACGCCAGTTAATGATTAATGGATTGACAATTATTTCAGTAATTGATTAATCCAATTGTTTCAGATGTTAATGTGGGAAAGGGTTTAATGAAACACATTTCCTTTTTTCTCAAACCTAAGCAGATTCATAAGAGTCTGAAATGAGTGCCCATAATGATGAAAGATAAAAGAAGTTAAACCTGCTTGTTATTGTCTCTTCTTCACTGTGCTCTCTGATTTCTGAGGTTTTCTGGTGCTTTTGATATTTCTGTGCAGATATAACGGTGCATTAGATGTTGAAACGTTTCTGAATGTAGAGTTCACAACCTGACAGCTTAATGGATCTTTTTCCGCATTTCTGTCTTCTCCATACAGGGAGTCCTTCACGAACTCTGTCCACCATGTCTCTGTCCGTTCGTCCAGTCAGAAGGATCATTTCCAGGTCCATCACTAGGAGCCAGAGCTTCACTGGAGTTAACACCCAGGACAGGCCTTACAGGTCCAAACACCCACACTCTCTCATTATACCAATCATTTATATTATTATTATTATTATTCTTATTATTAATATTATTAATCCTGGATGTTTTTCACATTTCTTACCTTCATACAGTAGTAGCCACTCAGAATCTCCCCACTTTCCTTGATGGGTCCTTGGCTGGTGTTTGGCTGGTCTTTGGTTCGTCTTTGGCTGGTTACTTGGCTGGGTCCTTGGTTGGTCCCTGGCTGGTCTTTGGTTCGTCTTTGGCTTGACTTTGGCTAGCCCTTGGCTGGTCTTTGGCTTGGCCTTGGCTGGTCCTTGGTTGGTCCTTGGCTGGTCCTTGGTTGGTCCTTGGCTGGTCTTTGGCTGGGCCTTGGCTGGTCCTAGGCTGGGCCTTTGCTGGGCCCTCGGCTAGTCTTTGGCTGGGCTTTGTCTAATCTTTTACTGGTATTTGGCTCTTCCCTGGTTGGTCTTTGAGTGGGCCTTTGCTGGACCTTGGCTAGTCCTAGGCTAGTCTATGGTTGGTCTTTAGCTGGGCCTTGGCTAGTCCTTGGTTGGTCTTTGGTTGGGCCTTGGCTGGGTTTTGGCTGGTCTTTGGCTGGGCCTTGGTTGGTCCTTGGTTGGTCCTTGGTTGGTTTTTGGTTGGGTCTTTGCTGGGTCTTGGTTGGTACTTGGTTGGTTTTTGGCTGGGCCTTGGCTGGACCTTGGTTGGCCCTTGGCTGGCTGGGCCTTTGCTGGTCCTTGGCTGTGCCTTTGCTGGGCCTTGGCTGTGCCTTGGCTGGGCCTTTGCTGGTCCTTGGCTGGGCCTTGGCTGGTCTTTGGCTTGGCCTTGGCTGGTCTTTGGCTGGGCCTTGGGTGGTCCTTGGCTGGTCCTTGGGTGGTCCTTGGTTGGCCCTTGGCTGGTCCATGGCTGGGCTTTGGCTAGTCCTTGGCTAGTCTTTTACTGGTATTTGGCTGGTCCTTGGCTAGTCTTTGGCTGGGACTTTGCTGGACCTTGGCTGGTTGTTGGCTAGTCCTTGGTTGGTCTTTGGCTGGGCCTTGCCTGGTATTTGGCTGGTCCTTGGGTGGTCCTTGGCTGGTCTTTGGGTGGTCCTTGGTTGGCCCTTGGCTGGGTCTTGGCTGGTCCATGGCTGGACTTTGGCCTTCTTTGGCTAGTCTTTTACTGGTATTTGCCTGGTCCTTGGCTGGTCCTTGGCTGGTCCTTGGCTAGTCCTTGGCTAGTCTTTGGCTGGGCCTTGCCTGGTCCTTGGTTGGTCTTTGGCTGGGCCTTGGCTGGTCCTTGGTTGGTCCTTGGCTGGTCCTTGGTGGGCCCTTGGCTGGTCCTTGGTTGGCCCTTGGCTGGTCCTTGGTTGGTCCTTGGCTGGTCCTTGGTTGGCCCTTGGCTGGTCCTTGGCTGGGCCTTGGATAGTCTTTGGCTGGTCCTTGGATGGTCTTCGGCTGGGCCTTGGCTGGGCCTTGGCTGGTCTTTGCCTGGACCTTGGATGGTCTTTGGCTGGTCCTTGGATGGTCTCTGGCTGGGCCTTGGATGGTCCTTGATTGGTCTTTGGCTGGGCCTTGGCAGGTCCTTGGCTGGGCCTTGGCTGGCCTTTGGCTGGTACTTGGTTGGTTTTTGGCTGGGCCTTGGTTGGCCCTTGGCTGGTCCTTGGCTGGGCCTTGGCTGGTCCTTGGCTGTGCCTTTGCTGGGCCTTGGCTGTGCCTTTGCTGGGCCTTGGCTGGGCCTTTGCTGGTCATTGGCTGGGCCTTGGCTGGTCTTTGGCTTGGCCTTGGCTGGTCTTTGGCTGGGCCTTGGGTGGTCCTTGGCTGGTCCTTGGCTGGTCCTTGGTGGGCCCTTGGCTGGTCCTTGGTTGGCCCTTGGCTGGTCCTTGGTTGGTCCTTGGCTGGTCCTTGGTTGGCCCTTGGCTGGTCCTTGGCTGGGCCTTGGATGGTCTTTGGCTGGTCCTTGGATGGTCTTCGGCTGGGCCTTGGCTGGGCCTTGGCTGGTCTTTGCCTGGACCTTGGATGGTCTTTGGCTGGTCCTTGGATGGTCTCTGGCTGGGCCTTGGATGGTCCTTGATTGGTCTTTGGCTGGGCCTTGGCAGGTCCTTGGCTGGGCCTTGGCTGGCCTTTGGCTGGTACTTGGTTGGTTTTTGGCTGGGCCTTGGCTGGGCCTTGGTTGGCCCTTGGCTGGTCCTTGGCTGGGCCTTGGCTGGTCCTTGGCTGTGCCTTTGCTGGGCCTTGGCTGTGCCTTTGCTGGGCCTTGGCTGGGCCTTGGCTGGGCCTTTGCTGGTCATTGGCTGGGCCTTGGCTGGTCTTTGGCTTGGCCTTGGCTGGTCTTTGGCTGGGCCTTGGGTGGTCCTTGGCTGGTCCTTGGGTGGTCCTTGGTTGGCCCTTGGCTGGTCCATGGCTGGGCTTTGGCTAGTCCTTGGCTAGTCTTTTACTTTTATTTGGCTGGTCCTTGGCTAGTCTTTGGCTGGGACTTTGCTGGACCTTGGCTGGTTGTTGGCTAGTCCTTGGTTGGTCTTTGGCTGGGCCTTGCCTGGTATTTGGCTGGTCCTTGGCTGGTCTTTGGGTGGTCCTTGGTTGGCCCTTGGCTGGGTCTTGGCTGGTCCATGGCTGGACTTTGGCCTTCTTTGGCTAGTCTTTTACTGGTATTTGCCTGGTCCTTGGCTGGTCTTTGGCTGGTCCTTGGCTGGTCCTTGGCTAGTCCTTGGCTAGTCTTTGGCTGGGCCTTGCCTGGTCCTTGGTTGGTCTTTGGCTGGCCCTTGGCTGGTCCTTGGTTGGTCCTTGGCTGGTCCTTGGTTGGCCCTTGGCTGGTCCTTGGTTGGCCCTTGGCTGGTCCTTGGTTGGTCCTTGGCTGGTCCTTGGTTGGCCCTTGGCTGGTCCTTGGCTGGGCCTTGGATGGTCTTTGGCTGGTCCTTGGATGGTCTTTGGCTGGGCCTTGGCTGGGCCTTGGCTGGTCTTTGCCTGGACCTTGGATGGTCTTTGGCTGGTCCTTGGATGGTCTCTGGCTGGGCCTTGGATGGTCCTTGATTGGTCTTTGGCTGGGCCTTGGCAGGTCCTTGGCTGGGCCTTGGCTGGCCTTTGGCTGGTGCCTGGATGGTCTTTGGCTGGGCCTTGAACGGTCCTTGGTTGGTCTTTGGCTGGGCCTTTGCTGGGCCTTGGCTGGGCCTTAGTTGGTCCTTGGTTAGTTTTTGACTGGGCCTTGGTTGGTCTTTGGTTTGGCCTTGGTTGGTCTTTGGCTGGGCCTTGGGTGGTTCTGTGACAGTGGCGTTGGATGTAGTAGTTTGCCCTGAAATTGAAGGACTGACGGTTCAAGCCCCGACTCTGACTTTCAGTGTTGTTGTGTCCTTGGGCAAGACACCTTACCTGCATTGTCTACTGATGGTGGTCAGAGGGCCCGGTGGCGCCAGTGTATGTCAGCCATAAGGCGCTATATAAGTACATGCCATTTGGCTGGTCCTGGGCTAGTCCTTGGTTGATCTTAGGCTGTTCACCTACAATTCCTTTTTAAACATATAAAACATTCTTTTTGTCATTTGCGGACATTAATATCTAAAGAGAAGCGTCATCTCCTGGTCAGACCCTGTAATTCAGTGAAAGGGTGAAGTCAGAGTAGAAAAATATGCATGCCCAGGAGAAGGCCAGTGGATGGAAGTTGGAGGGGATTTTGCTGCCATTCGCTGGCTTTTGACTGGGAATAGCCATTTCGAACGGCTCCTAATGTAAGAGCATTTTGCCGTCCAAACACTCCAAAGCATCAGCAGCTTATGTTTCATAATGATTGTACTGCTAACTGATGGTAAAACCTGCGTATTGAAGCCAGATCAGCATATGAAGCTATAATGTGATGCATCTCAATTTTCAGGACCCTCTCAGTGTTCAGCACTCCTGGTATCAGCAGAAAGTCCAGCCGAGCCAGTGGGCTTTTCAGCATGTCCACCAAACCAAACCCACCGCCGAAAGTTCCCCAACCAGAGCGGCTGGATGAAGTCTACAGCGCCGTGAAGAAAGGCCTCCAGTGAGTTCTCAGATACATCCACCCATCATGAGCAGCGCCGCCGGTATAGAGCTGGGCAACGGTTTCCACCAACCTGATTCTGGTTTCAGGGGCAGATTACATATTTGATTTGAGAAGGTGAAAAAAATCCATGCCAGTAAAATTATTTCAGCAGAATCACCACGTCTGCTGGTACCTGTGGAGTTGACCTGGATCTGATGGAGAAGGCAGGGACTTATGTGATAAGGGTGATGGTAGGGAGACATAGAAAAGGTCGTTATTGCTGTAAAGCCAATGAAGATTCATCATTTGGTCCCAGTTTAGGGTGATAAAGGAAAAGTCCGGTCTGCCAGCAATAATCAATGGATCATTATTTAGACTTGATCAACAGCTGATACCACACCGCAATGACACAAACCTGTAGGTGGCAGTAGTGTTCTTTGACAAACATGGATGCCTCCAGTAAGGCACATTCAAATGAATATTACTCTGAATTAAAAACACTGATCATTTATTGAACAGTATGGAATAATTTTATATTTAAAGTACTTTCAGACGTTTGTATTCTGAATATGACCAGACTTTTCCTTTGATATTTTTCCAGTTTCTAATTAAAATATAAACAAAAACAGATCAGGTAGTATGTCTCCAGTCTTTTTGTTAATCTTTGTTAATCTCTGACTCCTGTCCACCAGAAACAAACCTCTTGGTAGAATGACATTTTCTTAATATATCTTAGACTTAGATTTAGACTCAACTTTATTAATCCCTTGGGATTATCCCTTCAGGGAAATTCTGGTTCCAGTAGCTTATGTAGAGTACAAAGAGTTAAAGCAAGATGCCATTAAAGATAAAAATACAAGAGACAATATAAAAAGTGTATATAGTACAAAAGAGCATAAAAAAGTTGTAATGTCCTGGAATATATTCTCTTTAGATGTACAAATATCTGCACAGTAGACAGCTAAGGAAAGACTACACAGTAGCTGACTTGGGGATTATTGCACTTGAACTGCAGAGATGGACTAACCTTTTAAATTAGTAAAAAATTACACTGGATTATATCTAGATCCACTGTAGGTGTTAATATTTATGAGCTCAGCCATGACACAGAGGTCCATTTCCTTTATCCTCTTAAGTCTTGTTAGGATGAGTCTGACCCCCAAAACGTAGCAACCAGAACTGTAAGTCAACTGAGTGGAAGTCTCCATAGCAACCAGTAATGCTGTCTGCCTGGGACCTGGTTGTACTGGAGGTTCGCTGTCCTACCATCTAAAGTGAAAATGAAGCAGAGTTTTCTGTACATGTGGCTAAATGTGGTTGATATGTTTAAGAGGAATAGAAAGAAGCAGCGGTTGTGTCTAATTCCTGGACTGCATTTTTTCAGGTCTTACCTCCAGCTCTACCAAATGGATCTGGAGAACATCAGCAGGCAGATTAAAGTCTCTAAAAGAAACTCCCGGCTGGTACGTTCAGCTGTAAAGTGCTGAATGTTCATGTCTTTAAATGCAAACACTGATGCTCTGATGTTTCCTCCTTCAGGGTTTCCTCTACGAATTAGATAAGGTGAGCTACAATCCATTCCTCCTCTTCCTGCAGTCTGGGAAAAACTGTTAAAACTCTGCTTTTCCCTGACAGCAAGTGAAGGTGATCGAGCGGTACATCACCAGACTGGAGTTTCATCTCAGCAAGGTAAGAGCAGCCCAGGCCTATAGCAGCTCATGTTTCGCCATCAGGAGGTCTATTTACTGCATTTCTTCTTATTGTCTGAAGATTTCTGAGTTTGCTGTCAGACCCTGACAGACACGCACTGCTGGGAAATAGTTATTATTGACGTTGTCTGCTCAGGTTGAGGAGTTTTATGAAGCCTACTGCCTTCAGAGGAAACTGAGAGACGGAGCCCACAAGATGGTGAAAGCTTACACGGCCAACCCAGGAAGCAGGGAGGCCAAGGAGAGTCTGGGAGAGGCCACTAAAGGATACAAGGAATGCACAGAGGTGAGATCAAGGGAACCTCTAAACCCAAGCATCACTTTCAGGTTAGGGGTCTCTCTCAGAGATTCCAGTGAGGCTGAGATTCTATTCAGTTTATTTCTATAGCGCCAATTTACATCACATGTCATCTCAAGGCACTTTCCAGTTCACCAGATCATCCAGTCAGATTGATCCAAAGTTTTCTATCTAAGGAAAACCAGCTGATTGCATCGACTCATTGACTCTTCAGCAATCCCTCACACTAAGCATGCTTGTAGCGACAGTGGAGAGGAAAAACTCCCTTTGAACAGGAAGACACCTCCAGCAGAACCAGGCTCAGTGTGAGCGGCCATCTGCTGAGGCCCACTGGGGTTCAAGGAGACAGAAGCAGACATAGAAAAAGAAGCATAGATACAAAAGGCAACTGTCAACCAGCTCCACAGGCGGCCCTGTCCAGGAAACACACAGCCAGGCAGACGAGCTCTGAGCCAGCTCCCATGTCAGAGGATGAAGAGAGTACATCCAGTTAGTCAAAGTCAGAGAATCAGGACTACACTGAAAAACAGGCCAAGCTCCAACATCTAGAAACAAAGGATGCAGTCACAGCCAAACAGGAACAGACCAGATGAAGCTACTATGAGAAAAAGCAGAGAGAGCAGGACGTTAGAGATTGAACTAACAGATTCTGCAGAGTGGGAGAATAGAGACAGAATGAAGCAAAATGATGATGAAATGATGTGTCCTGTTTGTAGAACATGTGTGTGATGGAGAATGACTTTGAGAACCAGCTCGGAGAATTCCACATCAGGATGAAAGGTAAGATCCCGTCACACATTTCATTGCTCTGAAACCTGGGTCACTGACACAGATCTAGAACCTTCCTTTCCAGATGGTCAGATTGCCTTCAGCGTCTCTCTTCTGATTTTTCAGGTCTTGCAGGATTTGCCAGACTGTGTGCAGGAGATCAGTATGAGGTTAGTGCCCCCCCCGTCATAGATCAATGCCCTCCTCTAAAGCCGGCATACACTGTGCCATATTTTTCAATCGTTGCACGCCGTTACAGCTCACACTGTACGAAGAAACTGCAGGGTTTAAAAGTTCACAGCTCACAAAGTATATTCTCACACTGTGCGACCCGACGCTCTCATGCGATGTGGGACTCAGCTCCGCAGTGAGATGGCGCTACTCTGACTCGTCTGTCCAGATGCCAAACTAGTAGAAGAGGAATATGAAGCTCACTAGAGTGAAACGCGCTGCCTTGGCTATTGGGGCAGTTTTTTGCTAAAAGTCCTAAAAAGAAAAGGCAACGACGTATTTGGACAAAGACATGGCACAGCAAACGTGGCTACTACGGTCTGTCAATTTTACAGAAAGAACATTTCACTCATTGCACCCCCTCGTTACCTCGTTCCCCCCTGTACACTATACCACGTACCATCAGGATGAAAGGCCCAAAAAGGGCTGAAAAATCGTACAGCGTATGCCCGGCTTAAGGGTGACATGGAATCGGCCTGTGCTGACCATACCCAGGGATTTAACAGCACTTTCTTTTAGATCTGTGTTAGTTTATTCTAAATCTGATCTAAAATCTGATTCTATATTTCAGGTCTTTGTTTATTTCTAACTGGTAAATTTCAGGGGGAATAACAAGAAGTGTCAGAATACTTCAGAATTCTTGGCTTCATCTTCCCTGAGAAGATGAAGCCAAGATTTATGAACTGGCTACGAAAACTTCTGGTTGTAGGAGGTCTGGCTAGTGGTATTCCTGCTGAGTCATAATGAGTGGCTTCCCTGAATTCACAAACACTTTAGTATAGTTTTGCTTTGGGGGCGGAACAGGTTACAAATGTTTATGATTTCTTATATATCTCTTTCCTAGTGAGGGAAAAAGCAGTTTAAGTCCGGGTATAATGGGCTTTTAGTGGCAGTCGGAACAGCTCACTGACCCATGTCTACACGGGTCAAACGACTCGCCAAGTGACCCGCGTTAAAAGATCGGCATGCTGTGGAAACACGTGAGCCGGGTTGACCCGCTAAATTACGTGATACCATTGAACGCAACGTATGGACGTCAACTCTGATTCCATTCGACAAACATGGAGCAGCTCTGATGAGACGGATTCAGTTAGATAACAGAGAGAAACAATAAAGCACACTGACTAAGCCCTGGCTTCCTCCATGTTGCTCTCTGTTGTTTACTTACCTGATTTCGGTCACACTGATGACGTCAAAGCTAAACCAGCGTGATGATGTCAGCAGACACGCAGCGGCGGAGGAGCAGAGCCCACGCAGCTGCTAGCGAGGGGTCAGACCAGCTTTTTTGCCAGTGGGAAAGGAGCCAAATACTGATTGTTAGTGGATCGACCCATGTTTGAAAACACGCGTTAATCCACTATTTTCAGTAGGAAAGACGCTTTATAGAAAAAATTTTGCCTTGAGTTGTGACATTTACTCAGAAGGTTAGCTTATAGCTTAAAATGAAGACAGAGAAAACTAGAAATGATTAAATTTAAAGACGTACATATAGCATAGAGAGAAAGGGATGACCCTATGTCCTCCTGCAACCTAAGCCAACAGCAGCACAACTACTAAGGTAACTCAGAGTGACCCGGATAAAGCCTCACAAAACAGGAAGGATTTAAGCTTTGTCTAAATATAGTCAGGATGTCTTGCTAAGATATGTAAATCAGTAAAAACAAAATCTATGTTTATGTATCTGTGTTTAGATTTTTATGAAATATGGCCGACAGCGCTGGAAACTGCGAGGAAGGATAGAAATCAATGCCAAACAAGTGTGGGACAACGAGGAGATGGTGTTCGTCCCCCTCATTAACGAGTTCCTCTCTGTGAAGGTCGGTGGCATTAGATGGATGTTTATAGCAGCTCTGCTAAAGACGGATCCAGGTTGACGGTACTTTCATTTAAATGTGAATGATGGACAGACATGAAATCCGTCCTCCTTTGTTTTCCAGGTGACTGAACTGAAGAGCTTAGCCAATCACGTGGTTGTAGGGAATGTTTCCTGTGAGATGAAGGACCTGTTTGCTCCACTCACCCAGGTGGTAGCTGTGGACATTAATGATCTCGGCACTCTTAAACTTAGCCTTGAAGTCACATGGAAGTAAGTTCTGTTTATAGGCCAAAAAAACCAACCATATGTCTTATAGTGTAGGTGATTAATTCCACATAAATGTGATCATTGTCTTGATTTGATGTGTTTTTTCTGTCTTTCTGCATCTCTTTCTGTTTTTCCTCAGTCCCTTTGATAAAGACGATATTGTTGTAAACAAAACACCAAGTATTGCGTCGCACATGGGCAGAACACCAGGGACGCCGTCCAAACGCATTCAACCCTTTCCTGTAAGTTCTAAGTGTGTGGAAAAAATCTTTCATTCCTTTAGAGACAGCATGAAAAGTCAGCTGAGTACAAAACATAGAGAGGAAAACAAGAAGAAAAGGGACAAGAAGAGAGGGACAAACCTAGAACAGATAATGGATGTCTATTCTATTAACATTTCTCTATCTGTAGAATGGGTCTGTTTTATTTCTTCTCAATTCAGAGGGCCTGTCGTTGCCTAGGGCCCCACATTTTCTAAACCCACCCCTGTCCCCCACTATACCTTTAATACCAAGTTACCTCTAAAAAAAGAGGTTCATACTTGGCAGAGAAAACTACATTTTTGATTTTGCTTCTTGAGGACTCTTTCACATTTATATGAAAAGTAAATCCTGTTTGGTTTGGTCTGGTACAGCAGCTGCTGTTGGAAGCATAACTTAAAGTAAAGCTTGATTTAATCACCAGATATTTTCATAACAGCAGGCAGTGCTGAGTTTGATAGGAGGGAAAATAACACGGCTGAATTCTCTTTTTAAATGATATCTATTAAATTTACCACTAAGGGCTTGATCTTCAGGGATTCCTAAAAAGAAGCGCTAAATTACATGTTTAATTTGTCTTAAGTGTGTGCAAAATGTTGGTGTGTGGTGCAAACATTATGCCGCAAATGCTTATATTAAATTCAAAAACACTTTAGTAATCACAAGGGGAAATAAAAGGTGTGCAAACTGTTTTGTTCTGCCCATTGAAATGAACAGATTGGGTGTTCTACAGACAGTTTGATAATGGCCGTTAAAGACATACGAGGTCCGAAGCCATGCTGTTAAAGTGGCTTCACTTTGGCCACATTTCAGTTTCAGATTTTGGAAAATCCCTTTGAATGTGTTAAATCTTTTCATTTTCATATCCTCTGCACATGAATTTGATGCATGTTGATGAGGATACACGTCTGCTGAATTGCAAACACAAATAACTAAGATCTGCTATGCAAATACAAACGTGTTTGAGGCTATTTTATGTGTGCAAACTTACTGCAGATCAGGCCCTAAGAGATAAATATAGCTGCAGAGACAATAATGATCTGTTCTGATGTCCTAAACTACACCACCTGTTTTTTTAACAAATACTGCTTATCCAGCTTCCTCCACTTTCCACTCCTCTCTTAAAGGAATAGTACACCCAAAACATGATTAGCCTTCATTTTCTACTCACCCCCATGCTGAACAACACTCTGGAGTACTTTTTTGATATCTCAAATGCATCTGGAGATCTGGGAGGCTTCTTGCTGACATTTAAATAATGGAGGTCTATGGTGTCCGAGACAGAAAGGTCCAAAAAGTCCCCAAAAAACGTGTCAATATTCCTCCATACTGCTCGTCCAATGTATTCCAAGTTTCCTGAGTGGGTAGCGTCCATAATTTACTCGAAACGAAGCCATTTAGAATGTTTTTAGAGCATAAACAGTAGTGTATAGAATTTCCTGAAAGCGCGCTCCTGCGAGTTCAAGACGCTACGGAAACCGCGGCAGACCAAACCAGATGAAAGTGGACCTTTCTGTCTCGGGCACCATAGACCTCCATTATTTGAATGTCAGCAGACAGCAGGAAGCCTCCCAGATCTCCAGATGCATTTGAGATATCAAAAAAGTACTCCAGAGTGTTGTTCAGCATGGGGGTGAGTAGAAAATCATCTTTTGGGTGTAGTATTCCTTTAAGGCCTGAACACACCGGTTGGTATGACTTTTTAAACTCATGCCCATTAAATTTCAATCAACGCTAAACGCCACGACCTCTGAGGGAGGATTTTCTATCGGATCAAACGCAGAATCCGATTAGGTGTGTTCTGCCGTTTTTGGGGGATTTCCTCCCAAAATCAACCTTTTCTGCAAATAAACTGTTTAACCAGGAATAGGAGGTTTTATTTTATTTTTATTTTTTAATATGTAAACTTGTATTATTCTGTGAATTGTTTATATTTTATTAAAACTATAAAGAAAACTGTAATTTATAAGGATGTAATCAGCCATTTATTTAGTGTTAATAAGAATCAGGAAAGCTGCAGGATGAGGCTCTATGTCCGGTCAGCAAAGAATAATCAGTGGATCATTATTTATACCTAAAACTAATACATTTGCGATGAGTTCATAAATTTAGCATTAATCAGTAAAAAATGTAAAGTGATGCTTGGGTTCAGAGGTTCCCCTGATCTCACCTCTGTGCATTCCTTGTATCCTTTAGTGGCCTCTCCCAGCGGCCATTTTTGCCCAAATATTGTAACCCCTCCCTCCTGCCATCTTCCAGCAGTGACGTCACGGTGCGGTAAGCCTAGCGCCATTCTCCCCGCTTTACAAGCAGAATCAATGGGAACTACTAGACACATCTGCAATCAACAACAATTATTGAAGATTTCCAGAGGACTTCACCATTGAAATTCACCAGAGCTATAGTGAAACTGACAATACCCACGTGCATGGCAGCTGGATGTTGGAATACATCGGGTAAAAGTGGAAAAAAGAGTTATTCCACCTTTCTGATTGCTGATCCTCCATGGACGGGTTGGTCGTTGGATTGCCAACTTGAAGAGGGAGGATTTACCATCGAACTTCTGGCCAGAGAAAAAACACGTAATATGTAGCCAACATTTGGAAGAAGAATGTTTTCAAGATGACTTGGATAATAGCGCGTTGTGACAAACACCAGATACAGCACTGGGACTTGATCAACAGCCGATACCGCACCGTGACGTCACAAACCAGTAGGTGGCAGTAGTGTTCTTTGACAAACATGGATGCCTCCAGTAAAGCACATTCACATGAAAATTACTCTGAATTAAAAACACTGATCATTAATTGAACAGTATGTAATAATTTTATATTTAAAGAACTTTCAGAAGTTTGAATTCTGAATATGAGCGGACTTTCCTTTAATATTCGAGTTCGTCCTTAAAGGAACCCCAATAGGATTCCCATTAGAATCCACTCAGACTGTAGGAGCCACATCCGGTGGTTCAGGCAGGCAGCTGTAATTCAGCAGCAGCTGATTCTTAACTGCTCCGTCGCTCTTTGCTCCACCTGATGCCTCTTGGACCATCAGTCCCAGCCACAGTGTCCAACCCGGCAGCAGCAGCAGCAGCAGCACTGGCCTCTCATGGACATCTTCAGAGGAAAACTTAACCAGAGCTGCCCCTGTCGGGACCACTCCCCAGAAACACTCAGTGCAGTAAGTCAGTAGTTTAGCTGTAGTCACCGTTAGACGGCTCAGTGTCATATGGGGGGTCGGGAACGTATGGAAGGTTTCTGATTTTTACAAGATGTGTAATTCACTATAGGCAGAGATAGGATCTTTTTGGGGGATTAATAAAGTATGTTTGGATTAAATAGATTTTTCTTATAAATAAGAACAGGAGATTCACTGCATTGCATTCTGGGATTTGGCTGTTTCCTCCTGTCAGCTCTACTTAGGAGCAGTTAAAAGGTGACGACGGAAGAGACAAAAGGAAAAAAATATGCATAGATTTTAGACTTTTTTTTCTACAAACACAAAATAAAAATAGGAGTTTTCCAGGTCTGCTCCTCTCTGATTATTAAACAGCAGAACTGGAAACACGGCATTAGGAAACTCCTGGAGGATTTCTATATACACAACTAGTTGGTCTGATTACAGATTTAAAGCAAGTCAAGAATTTAAGGTGGAAAATTTAAGACGTGGGTAACAACTGGGTGGTCTAAACCTGAGCACATACTTTATCCATCCCACTTCCACAAAATCAGCAAGAAATGTAGAAAAAATTCCCCAAAGGTTTCAATTCAATTCTATTCAGTTTATTTCTATAGCTCCAATACTCATCATGTCATCTCAAGGCACTTTCCAGTTCACAAGATCATCCAGTCAGTTTTCTATCTAAGGAAAACCAGCTGATTGCATCGCCTCATTGACTCTTCAGCAATCCCTCACACTAAGCATGCTTGTAGCGACAGTGGAGAGGAAAAACTCCCTTTGATCAGGAAGAAACCTCCAGCAGAACCAGGCTCAGAGTCAGCGGCCATCTGCTGAGGCTGACTGGGGTTTAAGCAAACAGAACATAAATGTTTGAAAAGTGATGTCGACCTCTTCCAGGAAACGGCTAAGCTAACTGCTTCTTCTAGGACAAAACCTTGTCAATGTTAAATCTTCCAAACTAGTTCCAAACCCTTCATGGCATGAAAGCCTAAAAAATGACCCAGCCGCTTGTTTGATTCCCCCCGGTTCTGTAGAAACCTCCATCTCCTTCTAGCCAGTAGAAACTCTTATTTTAGTGAATTTAGTGGAGGGGAAATGTGTTTAGGATTTAGATTTTGGTGTTTTAGCTGCAGTCACAGGAGGCAAGCGCTCAGCTGGAAAGTCAGAAGGTTCACATTGACAGATGTCTTCTCTTTCTGTTCAATTTATATGATTAATCAGAACACGGACGAAATGAAACATTTGGAAAACAAAAGTTCAGCTTTCCTTCAGCTGATCAAATATTGTATGGCGTAGTTAGCATTTCTAAAACCTGTCTGGTTTCTGGCTGAGAGTTTGGAGGAATTCATGAGGTCTGATTCCAGCAATCAGCCTCATCACAGGATGGGATGGAGAGAGCATCGCCAGACAGGCCAGATCCGACCACCCAGAGCAGCAGCACTGGCCCAGACCGGCTCTGTTTACCCAGGAAGTTTCCTCTGATGATGGGAGGCTCTTAGATCTTCAGCTCTGTCTGTGCTGAATCGCCCCGAAAGTCTGTCCAGTTTGGTGACTCTGGGTTCGGTTGGTGATGGTCCAACGCTCCTTCATCCCCCTTCAGTTCAGTCTTTGAATCCAATACGTCTTCTACACAAAACACTCTGCCTGACCTTCATCACAAAGAGCTTGAAGAAACAGACTGTAGTGATTTTGTTTCTATGTTACAGAGAGAATTCTATGGAAGAAAAACAGTCTCATGGAATCTGTCTTTCTTTGTACTCTGAATTTTAAACAATGAATTGTTTTACACATTGAATTCCTTACACTGAATTTATATCTGGTAAAAATGTTCCTGCACAAAATTTATCTGCACAAAATTCAGCTGCAAATGTGTGACCTTTTGGTGAACTCAAGCCAAAGCAATCTACACTTGATACAGCTGAGCAGTTTCTCGCCAATGAAATGAGCTCATTTGGTCACGTGACACAACAGTTGGGCATAGCTGAATGAAACTGAATGAGGAGTTTTTGATTACAAAACATCAGGTAGCTACTAATAGACGTCCATCAGAGTTTTCCATCTAATGGGTCTGGGTGAAATAACTGAGCCGATCACAGATAGTGCGGCACCCCCGTCTGCCAAGGCTCTTGGTTTGATCCAGAAGAAGCGGCCGGCGGCAAACTCCCTTTTTCTTTTACTGACAAAATGAGTTCACCAGCATAATTTTTTACAGATGAATTTTCCCCACATAGAAATTCAATGTAAGGAATTCAGTACTAAACAAATTCATGTTTAAAATTTGGTGTGCAAAAAATTAACAAAAAGATTTCTATGAGACTGTTTTGCTTCCATAAAATTCATACAATGAAAAAAATAGAAATAAGTAAATACTGTCTTAAATTAAAGGTATTTGGCCTTAATTTGAGCAGGTAAATAAGATGATTTGCTAATGGAATGAGTTTTTTTACTCCTTAAATAATATGCACTTGAAATAAAACAATGCAATTGGCAAAGTGTCACACTTCCTCAATCCAAGAAAAAAATGCACTTATTTTAAGAAAAAATGACTTACCTAGATGTAAAGTTTTTGCAGTGTAACATACCAGGTAAGATAGTCTGGATAAAGCATAAAGGATGAAGAGTCAAAACTGTGAGTTGCTCCAGTAACGGCGCTGATTGGTTCCTCTAATTGGCTTCTTGGTTTTTAACTTCCGAGGCTGAACCTGTCGATACGAACATTACAAACCTCAGGTTCACCAGTCAAACCTTTCTCAGAAACCAAAGAGTTCCCTGAATTTTGGGAAATGTCTGGTTTCCAGTTTTGGGAGTGTCACTGTGGGGACGGAGTTATGACAGGACTCAAATGCAGACACAAGAGGTTGAGGTGGTTACTTGAATATTTAATTTACCAAAAGTACAACAAAAGCAAAAAACATAAATCCACAAAAATCCTGAAAACCAAGAATACTCACAAGAAGAAGGGGACAAAGCAATGACGACAAACCAGTAAAGAGTGACTGCACAGGAGAAGATTATATCGCAGAGAGAAACAAAGACCAGGCTAATAAGCAGATTGGGAGCAGGTGTGAACAGAGGCTAGAAGGGTGCGAGGGAAAGGAGACTGACACAAGAGGGCAAACAGGAAATATCTAAGAACTCAAACAAAATCAAAAATTATTATTAATTATTAAATACCTAGAATACAAGAACTCAAAATAATATTTGAACAAAACCAAAGCCATGACAGGGAGGACCTTTGCCGAGAGATCCTGGTTATGTTTCCTGGTGACAGAAGGAGGTAGGAAGGTGGAGATGAGCTGGAGATTACTGCTGAAACATCAGACCGATCTTTGTCTCTGCTGCTCCGTTTCAGATCTCTGACCGCAGCCATGATGACGAGGAGAGGGAACCTCCCTGGTCTAGCTCCACAGACTCTTCCGATGACTCCTACGGCCGTCGGTCGTCCGCGCCACGGGAACCTGTTTCTCCGCCTCACATGGTAACACTGCGGTCCTCCATGCCATGTTAAGCTTTCAGCATCTCTACCTTGTTAAGTTTTTTTTGGGTTTAAAGTCGGGTCGCATTACTTTTCTCCGGTGTATCTACTGCGCTGACCTGCTGATGCTGGTTTTAGCTGGTTCTGAGTTCTCTGCAATACCTTCTTGTATAAGATGTATATGAGACAGAAGAAGCTGTTGAACCTGTAAAAACAAAGGCTAAGTGATGACGGTGTTGGAGCACTGTCTGTTTGAGAATAGTCTCTGTTAGTCATCATTACTGACTGTAAACATTGGCTTTTGTTTTTCCCAACCTTATCCAGGTCAAGCTGGCTCACGGCATAACTCGGGGCCTCTTTACTGTTTAGCCTTCCTGTTCTCTGTAGGAAGTCTTGCTCTCACTCAAAACAAACATCAAATACGTTGCTGATACTCCTGCTTCCTTCACATCTTTGCTTCTTCTGAATGATGAGAACAGCTCACTGATGGAGGAAGTAGCTTTGTTACCACATATACACCATGCAGCATTCTTGCTACCTACTAGCATTTAGTTATGATGAGTTCACTGACAAAAAAAAGGATCAGATTTATAAGTTTCCTGCTGGTGATGGCCCTTCAGGGACAGCTCTATTCAATAACTGATTTCTAAATGCTTCAGTCATCTGAGTGGTAATCCTGTGTGTCTGTCTGTTTGCCTAGGACGGCTCTGGGAGCTCCACCATTGGACCCTTATCTTTTTCTTCTCCACAGCCTAAACCTCGCTCCCAACCTGCTTCATCCTCCATTCCTAACGGTAGTCCTGCTTTAGAGACTTGCAGGGTCCAAGTCTCACATCCAGCCGAGAGCTCCAGGCATGTTTGGGAGGTTTTGGGGGGCTGTTTGTCTCATTTTTAACCCTCATATCTGTGGATCACCATGATTGTCACCATGATCCAGCAGCCAGAGATCTTTGCCTAACTATATAAACTGATCATTGCAGGAACAATGAGGAGGAACAATTAGGGCTGCACCATAATGAGGAGCTGGATTCAGTGGGAACCATCAGCCCCATCTCAGACCATGGACAGCCTTACGGTCGCTCTCTGAGTCACATTAGCGAGAGTAGCACCGATGGATTTGTGGCTTCATCAGTCGGCGACTCTGCAGATAAAACCTCTCAGGTCTCTGGTATCTCCATCAGTGACATAGAGGTTCCCAGCAGAGCGTCTGAGACAGAGAATCCTACTCTCACACGCCCTGAGATGTCACCCAGCGTCTCCTTGGTGGAGAGAAGCCCAGCAGCCAGTCCTAGTGCAGAGCTACTCGTTTATCCATACGACGATTCCTTCTCGTCCCAGACTGAGAGAGATGAACAGGATTCTCTGTTTGAGCCAAAGACGATATACGAGGACTTGGAGGACTCCCTTACAGACACAGGCAGCAGAAATGGGACCTACAGAGCCCAGAAGGTGCTGGTTGAAAGTGTGGGACAAGGACCTCTTGGTGTGGTCGACAGCGAGCTGGAAGACTCTCTGGAAATTCTGCTTACAACTCTGGATGATTATAGAGGACAGTTTCCTGAGCTGCAAGGTCTGGAAGACAACCTGAGGCTGCTGCAGGTAACCCTGAAGGTAAGACTGGGCAATAAGAACATGCTTGTAGAGCATGCTGGTGAAGATTCTCAGCCAGGTCAGAGTCATTCCAAAAAAGGTAAAAACAATCCACTGGACTTTGTTTCGCAGTTTGAGGACGTTTCTCTTCCATCCAGGAAGCTTTTTAAATCCAAAATGTCAGAAATAGCGTTCCAGGCTTTATACAGTAGCCCAACAAAGCCTTGTTTTTATTTATAAAACATGCAAATTCAAACAGATGAACGGGTCCACCCCTTTGGAATGGGGGTCCTTTGGCTTCTTTGGTAGCCTGCAATAAACGATACCCGTCTATGTCTCTGAAAGAGAGTCTTTAGAGTTGGGGGTTGCGATGATAGCAGCTTTCAACCTACAATGCAACGACCCCCATTCCAAAGGGGTGGACCCGTTCGTCTGTTCCAATTTGCATGTTTTCTTACGCAGCTTGATGGCTACCTGGTTTAGGAAGACAAATGGTTTCATATGGGCATCTCTGCTTAGACTGAAGCCGGCGTGACCCGGCCCCGGATGAAGAGGAAGAAAATGGATGGACAATATGCTTAAAATTTCCTGCTGAACTTTACAACAGAGTATTAGGGCGAGGCTAGAGATTTTTTGTTTTAATATTATGTTTATTAGGTATTTTGAACATTTATACAAAGACAGAAAGAACAAGGGGAAAAAAGGAACAAAAACAGGACAAAACATAAAAAGCACTGATACAAAACCCGAGGCATGTGCATAAATTACAGCAAACATTGGAGAAAATTTGCCATTTATACACAAACTTGAACATACTGTATATCACTCAGATTCACATTACTGGTCTTTTCATCTTGAAATTCTGAAGCATTCCAGAGTACGTTCCCATCTTTTTTTTAAAGTGTAGAATTTCCCATTCAGACAGCATCTTCATCTTTCTAATACAATAACTTCAGAAACTAAGCTTTTCCATAGCTGGATTGAATAGCATAACAACTAACTAATTTAGGCATTATCGATTTTCTGGCCAACATCAATAGGAGTTGCACATTTTCTCTTTGTGAGTATCCAGATGCCCAGGTATGAACCCAAAGAGGCACAGAACTTGGCGAGGGAAAATTCCTCTATAATTTTACACTCCCATAAACATTGAATTCTATTCCCAATTTGGAGAACTTCCTGGTGTGTACATGCTATATATATATATATATATATATATATATATATATATATGGAGATATGTATACATTATGTAAAATATATTGTATTTCTTTATAATGGTTTAATACTGAGATTCTAGAAGGAAGTAAATTTCTTCCCACGCTTCTGAATCAATTGTGCTTATTTAGAGTTCTATTCCAGGTTGATGTTAAATTCTCCAAATCATCTTTCCTTAAAGCTTGTAATTCAGCTTAGAATCTTGACACAAATCTGCCAAATTTATGACAATCAAGACAAGTTTTTTCAAGTAAATAATAATCCTCTGGGAACTCAAGTGAGCCCATTTTTGCTTTAACATAAGTTTTTTTAAATGTTTGATACGAAAATATGGTCAGAATATTATGATATTAATGTTGTAACATTATAAAGTCATAATACTATGAGAATAAAGTTGTATTTTATGACAGCTTTCCCCTAAAATAAGGAATATGGAGCATCTTGTGAAGTTATACTTTAGCATCGGTCTCATGAATAAGGAAATATAAAGACTTTTAGCATCACATTACTATTAGTATCAGAACTTTGAAATGATTTGTAAACGACTATGAACTGGAATCTTTCTATCAGATACGGAATGATGTTTGATGACTTAATTCTCCTTATTTTAACACTTTATTCTCATAATTGTATGACTTTATTCTCCTAATATTATGACTTTATAATGTTAGGACATTATTCTCACAATGTTATGACTTAATTCTCGTGTTTTAAGATAAAAATAAATCAATCTCTAGCCTGGCCCTAATACTCCGTCGTATGATTAAGAGGGTGGTAATGTTTTAAAATTTTTAAAAAATTAAATGAAAATAGATTCTATGACAGTCTCAACTTTATTATCACCAAATAGTTTCATAAGGCTGTTTTAAATGAAAACTAGATTTAAAAAACCAATCATTATATAACATTATCAGGTTTTGTGTAAATATGGAGGAACCAGGATGCTTCCGTGGAGGAAGGTTATTCTGGGATAATCTCCTTCTGAACGATTTCCGATTCTGACATTATCGTATAATCCGTTTTATTTTCTGTCATCTCAGATAGGCGCAGTGATTTACAGCCTCTTTTTTATCTTTTATTTTACTTCCTGCTCAGAACGAAGAACACCAAGGAGAAGCTGAGGGACTTTTATCTGTCCTGAAGCCAAATAAGAAATAAAATGCTTTGTTTCTTTTCCCATAAGTAAAGTAAATCCCTTAAACCTTGTTTTTTAGGAGCTTCTGTTCAGGGTAGATAAAGTAGTTTATGTTGGATCAGAAACTTGAACTTTGGATCAAATGAAGCCTTTTCTCATGCCGTCTCCCTGCTGCTGCTGTTATGACAGCAAAATGAAACCGGAAGCAGCTTTCCACCTCTTTCAAAGAGGACAATGGTTCAATGTTGCTGAACTTAATGTTGAAAATATAAATGTAATAAAACAGTGAAGAGAAGATTTCATTATTTACTCATTCAAACAAACAAACTTTACTGACTCGGTCGGCTACTATCAGACAGGACACAGATTCGCTCTGGTCACTTTATTGGTGGTGGGAACTTTTTCAACTGCTTCAGAAAGCCACCTGTCCCAGTCTGCTGCTCTGGACCAAATTGCAGACCAATGATCAGGAGCCACATGTTAACTTTTAAGATTCTGGTGATACAGATAGGGTGAGAAGCTCGGTCATCCGGGAGGGACTCGGAGTAGAGCCGCTGCTCCTCCACGTCGAGAGGAACCAGTTGAGGAGGCTCGGGCATCTGGTTAGGATGCCTCCTGGACGGCTCCCTGGTGAGGTGTTCTGGGCACGTTCCACCGGGGGGAGGCCCCGGGGAAGACCCAGAACACGCTGGAGAGACTATGTTTCTCGGCTGGCCTGGGAACGCCTTGGGGTTCCTCCTGAGGAGCTAGAAGAAGTGGCTGGGGAGAGGGAAGTCTGAAGTCCCTTCTTAGGCTGCTGCCCCGCGACCCGACCCCGGATAAGCGGAGGAAGATGGATGGATGGACAAACTGAACAAATATGGAAAACATATTCATAAAAGAAGGGAAGTTTACTTGCCCTGCATTTCACATTTTCTCTCCTGGTTTGGATCCTAACTCTGTCTACACACATTGAATTGATGTGTTCCTGTAATGAGTTCCAGCATGAGAACCACAGTTCATTAAAACTCAAAAAGTCTGCTGTTCCTCTGTAAAGCCATTTCGCAGGATTATCTGGTACTATCTAGCTAACAGGCAAGTCTGCATTATATTTTCGTCTCTTTGCAAAGAGAGAACAGTTCATCATACGGCCCTTATTGCACGGTAAACAGCCCTGTTCTGCCTGAGCAGCGTTCGTTCCCCCTAGCTTACAATAATGAAAATTAGTCAGAGTCAAAACAAATGACACTTTGGTTAAACAGTAACATGTTATGAACAAACCTTGAGAAAGAATCTGGTTTGTTATGGGAAGAAGCTATGTCTGGTGGCCTAATTCTGTGGCCTTGCAGGTGAAACAGACTGAGTGAGTAAATAAGATTAATTAATATATGAAATAAATTCCCCTCCCATCCTCCTCTGCTGGAAGCCTGAGGTGTTTCAGGTCCAGCAGAGGGACATGGCCATCCATGGTGTCCTGGCCCATTCCCTGGTCCTCTCTCCTGGTGGGACGTGTCTGAAACACCTCAGAGGGAGGCGTCCAGGGGGCATCAGGAACACATGTCTGTCTCTTCTCCTTGCCTCTTCTGGATGCCAGAGCTCCTCACCCTCTCTCTTATGTAGAGCCCAGCCACCCTGCAGAGGAAGCTTGTGTCAGCTGTGTCTATCTAGGATTTCATTCTCTCGGTTATGACCCAGATTTCATGGTTCAGCTAGTTTAGGTTGGGAACGTAGACCGACCGCTCACTTCACCACAATCTCAAAGACAGAAGCCTGGGATACTCAACCTCCTCCAATTGATGCAGAAAGCCCACCTCCCCAGCATGAAGAGGGAAATCCACCATTTTATGGTACAGAACAGGACTCAGATTTAAGTACCTGATCTCCATCCCTGGCCCCGGGACCTTAGCAGCAGGGAGCCAACAATCCAAGTTATCCAGAAAATGCAGAGAAGAAATCTGCTGGTCCCCAAACCAGATACCCCCTGTTAGTTACTCACACTTTACCAGAAATATTATCACATAAGCAGTTTAAAGAGTTTTTGCGGAACATTTTAATTGTAGGTTGTATAATCAGAGGTAAAGAGGCCTCCAAATGAGGTTTAGAAACAACAGCTAGAAATCATCTTGCATTTCCTCCTGTATCATACATCACTGTGCTGTTAAAGAATACTGGAATTACTGGATGCTGTGTGGAAGAACAAACATGGCTTCCTGTGCCCTGACCCTGGCTCTCTGTGTGTGTGTGTGTGTGTGTGTGTGTGCGTGTGTGTGTGTGTGTGTGTGTGTGTGTGTGTGTGTGTGTGTGTGTGTGTGTGTGTGTGTGTGTGTGTGTGTGTGTGTGTGTGTAGGGGGGCAGTCGCAGCCGCAGAGCCAGCTTGGTCAGCTTCTCAGTGGAATCGGCTTTGGGCAGTTTTGACTTTTTGTCTGACTGTGAGGATGAGGACGAGAGGAAGAGCAACGTCAAGAAGACAAATGGCAGGTCAGTGGGAACAAAGATATAACCGTGATTACTCTGGGTAACTTGTTGTGGAGCTGAATATTTGCTTTAATGGCATCATACTGCCATCTGGTGGTAAAAGCTGTAGATGCAGCTGTATATGAGGAAGGATTTGCAAACCATGTCTTCAATTTGTTTACAGCTTATTGAGATCAGGGCATGTTCACCCTTTCTAAAAGCTTCATTGGTGTAAAGAATATTTATGTTACAGAAAAACTTTTGTGCAAAATCTATATAGCAGATTTCTGTAAAAAAAAAACAAAAAAAAAAAAAAAACACGGACACACTCAGATGTGCTTGAATGTTCTACCCTTTTTGTGTTTACGATAGTTGTTTCCAGAGAAAATAACAGAGCTATCATCCCTTTGCCTCAAAGTAGTCCCAGCATCAAAGAAACAATCAATTAGGATGCTGCAGTCATTTTAATATAGAAAATCTAAGTCATATGAAAAGAACGATAGCTGCCACAGTCTGCTGCTACCGCTACTGCAGAACTTACTCATGCTGGTTAAGCTTCTCAATCATCCAGGTCAGAGTCATTCCAAAAAGAAAATTAAAAACAATCCACTGGACTTTGCTTACAAGTTTAGAGATGTTTCTCTTTCCATCTAGGAAGCTTTATGAATTCAAAATGTCAGAAATAGGGTTGAGTTTAAGGTTTTATAGAGTAGACCAACCAGGTTTTGGTTTTGTTTTGAAAACATACAAATAGAAACGGACGAACAGGTGCACCCCTTTGGAATGGGGGTCGTTTGGCTTCTTTATTAGCCTGCAATGCCCCATACCTTTCTAAGTAAAGCATGTGGTTTGAAAGGGGCGTGAAGGAAGCCATCTCTGTTAAGAAAGGAAAACCAACCTTAAACAGAGGGGGTGGACTCAGGCTTCAGGTTTCAGAAATCGACAACTCAGCGATTGAGTTAATCCTTTTCCTCTATCATCACATCCCCATCCCCAGCGCAGGAGGGTGCAGGACCTCGCCTATTCAGCCGGGCCAACAATTCCCTCTAACGACCCCCCCCTTTCAGAGATATAGACAGGTATGGGGCACTGCAGGCTAACAAAGAAACCAAACGACCCCCGTTCCAAAGGGGTGGACCCGTTTATCTGTTTCTATCTGCATGTTTTCTAAACAAAAACAAGGCTTTGTTGGGCTGCTGGATAAAACCTGGAACTAAATGCTTTTTCTGGCATTTTTAATTAAAAAAGCTTCCTGGATGGGAAGAGAAACATCTTCACACTTGGAAACAAAGTCCAGAGGATTGTTTTTAATTTTCTTTTTTGGGAAGAGCTTAGTAATGTTTCATTTATGGGATTACAGACCAATGAAGGCTCATACAACAATTACGCTGTTAAAAGGGGGATGTGCTCAGCTGTTTTAAACACTTTTGAACCTTACAAGATTATAAGATGTTGAGGCTCCTCTCCTGTGGAACCAACTACCAGTTTTAGTCCGTGAGGCAGACACCCTGTCTACTTTTAAGGCTAGGCTTAAAACTTTCCTTTTTGATAAAGCTTATAGTTAGAGTGGCTCAGGTTATCCTGAGCTATCTCTATAGTTATGCTGCTATAGGCTTAGACTGCTGGAGGACATGGGGACCCCTTTTTCATCATTCTGCTTCATTCTATCTCTATTCTCCCGATCTGCAGAATCTGTTAGTTCAATCTCTAACGTTCTGCTCTCTCTGCTTTTTCTCATGATAGTAGCTTCATCTGGTCTGTTCCTGTTTAGCCTTTGCTCCATCCTGGATGGAGGCATCAGCTGGAGTGCTGCCGTCAACAGCTTCCATTATAAGTTATAGAGCTGGGCCTGTGTTTCAGTGTTTACTCCTGTTTCTCTCCTGTAGCTATGGGCTCAACATTTTCTGTGATAACTGGATGTTCTTTCTTTAGTCCTTGGACACGAAAACTGCCTCAGAGCTCCTCTGATTACCTGTTTCTCAAGCCTAGCTTGGTTCTGACTTTCTCCTATTAAGTTGGACTTTTTTCTCTCCACTCACCGCATGCTTGCTTGGTTTGGTAGTCAGTGATGCTAAAATATGTCTCTTTATGCTCACCCAGGAGGAGAGAGTCCTGCAAATCAATGACCAGATGCAATGAGCTGGTTTTACCCGCTCGTAAAGAAAACTTTAAACCATTCTAACTGGATGTTCAGATTGATTCGACTCTGTAAAGTTTCCCTTAGATGTTTTGAAGTGGCACTATAAAAATGAACATAAATGAAGTTCAGGCATAATTATTAGCAGGTGTTATTTCTCTTATAGAGTATAACAACAAGAAATGGTGGCTAAACATCTGCTGTTTATCGTTTAAAAAGCATAATTAGGGTTCCACATAATAATAGTAATTTAATTGACTATTTATACTTCTAGAAATAGGATAAAGACAAGAACAAACAGAGGAAGAATATTAACATTGAGTTTATCTTACATAGATTTCCACACCGTCTATAAGTAAATTAGTACAAACATTAATATCTGCTAAAAATGCTGGAATCTGGCTGTTTATTTTTGATATTATTAAATTACAGATAAGATAGTGTTATGTTGTCTTTTATAATTGTTAAAAGTGATTTTATATTTGAATAAACTTAGGCTCATTCTTAATGTTGTTTGTAGATGATGCCACTGAAAAAGAAAATATACATAAGGAGCTATTTAAACAGTCAGACAGTAAGCAATATAGGACGATGATAAAAGGTTGTGTTACATTTAATCCTTTACTATTAAAAATGCACTTATACATTATATGATTATAGGAAACACAGATATCCAGTAATAATGATGCAGGGCAGCTTGTAGATGAAGCAGCTGCCCTTCAGTGCTCCAGGTGCTGTCTAAATAAACCAGGTGAAACTAAAATATTTCCTCTTGAGGAGTTCTGGATGGAGAATATTGACAGACAAAAACATTTTTTTAAATATTTTATATATATATATATATATAAGTATTTTTACAATTTTGGTATAATTACTGATTTAAGTGGGTTGCTCTGTCGGGGAAAGGCACATTTTACATTTAGATTATGTTTTAGAGTCTCTATTCTTCAGTTAATGATGAATCACTCACTAAATTAGTTGACAATTATTGAAATAATCAATTAATATAATTCATTTTTTCAGCCCCAGATAAAATACCTGAAATGGGCGACACAGAGTAACTACAGCCCAGATGTTCAACTTTTATAGTGAAGTTAATATTTTAATGAATGTATTATTTTGCTTGATATAAAGAGAGCATAGTAGGTAAAAATATAAGAGTGGGGTTTACCTCTGCATAATTCTATATCTTCAAAAGAAAATACTGTATTTACTTTCTCTCTTAGTCATTTAAATGAAACCATTTTCAAAGTGTAAAACAGTCCTAATTCCACATTCATCAGAGCCGGTGATACTTCAAACATTAATAAACAGCATCTAATAAGTGTAGTGTTTATAACATTTTTATTAATGTAGCAAAATTATGCTTTTCTCTTTTAACAATGAATTGCTCTTCTCAGCACGGATGCTCACATCGGGCATAAAAAAAGGCATGCATATTGCATAGCACCAATGACACCTGACCAATTGTGTCCCTACCAAAGTTCAAATCAAACCTACGCCCTTGGTATGCACCACTGAATCTAACAGCAGGAGGCGTTTTTAGTAAACTGCAACATAAAGCACCTAAAGTTAATGCTTAAGGTCAAACTAAGCATCACTTTTAGGGTAGAAATAGATCTACAAAGAGGATGGTGCTTCTACAGCATCAGAACTCACTTGCTGAAAGTGTGAATGCAGCTTTACGGCTGGGTATCAGTGATTCTGGAGTTTAGGATTAAAATAGGAAGAGATTTATTTGGAAATCTCCAAAATATTCTGCAGAGAAACAATGTGAGAGTTACAGTCATGCAAACAGTGAAGCATCTTCTTTAAAACCATTTAGGGGCTTCCCTTTCATCACAGCTTTTTCTCAGTTCTGACCCACACTGATGGAGCAAAGAATTAAGCGTGACATGAAAACACTTCTCTCTAGTTAAGACGCTATTCAGTGATGATCTGTTGTCCAACATTACAGAGCAAAGAGTCACAGGGAGATAGTTACTCAAACAGGTATTTTCAACCTTGACCTCAGATTTAGTGTTAAGATAAAAGTTGAAGATATGAAATCTCTGTTCCTTCGCTATAAGGAAATATAACAACCACAACTGGTCCTCTTCTCCTCTCAGAGGAGACAGGACTGCCTGTCCTGCATGTAAACAGTTGAACGCTGATAACGTGCTCCAATCCGGGTTCACTAAGAACGCTGTGGGTTTTCTATTCTAGCAGGCAACGGCAGCATGACGGCTGGGACAGCCCTCCCTTCCTCCACTCGCCACTCACCACCAGCTGTGCTGCTCTAGACTCCTCCCTGGTGCTCCATCTGAAGAACTGCACCACACAGCTCCTGGTAGGCATCTGCTGCCGATGTCTTTTATTTTCCAGGTACCAGGTTGCTGTCAATCTAAATCCTGCCTGTGTAACGGGGGAGTAAGCTCTGTTGCTTTATGCACTCATCTCTGGTTAGTAAAGCTGTCAAAAAAAACACAGGATTGGACGCTGCCTGGACTGGATTGTTCTGGACAGACATGGGCAATGTGGAGTCAACAAGTCATCTCCATGTCATGTATTTGTTCTACCCAGCCAATTAACCAGGTGAGTCCAATCTGCACAGCTTAATTCACGGTGAAGATTGGACTCACCTGCTTCAGTGGCTGGGTAGAACCAATACATGACATGGAGATGACTTGTTGACTCCACATTGCCCATGTCTGGTTCTGAAACAGGGACCAAGGGTTTGCATGCATTCAGGTGTGTTTTGGGACCACCATCATGTACCCGCTATCTGATGCATGGAGGGAGCGCCTGTCACATCGGCCTGCTGTTCATGAAATGAGCTAAAATATCATCAGAACCAACTAAGATCTGTTGGGAGCATTTGCACAATAACACGAGTCATTCCAAAGTCCCTTAGTCCTGGAGAAACTCCCTTTCTGCTTTGGCCTCTCTCATCAGGCCATGACACGGCATGATGAATCAGATTTCTACCTCAGAGGTTTGTTGTTTTAGAACATGAAGATGATCAAACATTTGTTTCCCGCCATGTTGACTTCAGGTGGGTAGTAACTAGTTAAATTAACTCAGTTAGTAGTAGATTCACTGAGCCGTACTTCTTACTTTTACTTTAGTAATATTCTTGTAAAGTATCGCTACTACTGTGCTGGTAAAGATTCTCAGTCATCAGGGTCATAGTCATTCGAAAAAAGTTTAAAAAAACAATCCTCTGGACTTAGTTTGCAAGTTGGAAGACATCTCGCTTCCCATCCAGGAAGCTTTTTCCATTCAAAATGTCAAAAACAAGACCCTTAAACAGAGACTAGTTCATCCTAAAGACAAACCCCCAGACCTAATATTTGGGAGTGGTGTCTGCAGTTCAATGCAGTGAGGAATGCTCTGATCTTTTTATTGGAGAAACCAAATAACCTCTCTACAGACACATGGCCCGACATAGAAGAGCGCCCTCCTCTGGACAAGACTCTGCGGTACATCTACACCTTGTGGACAAACAAAATTCTTTGGAGGACCAGAATGTTCACATTTTGGACAAAGAAGACAGTTGGTTTAAGAGGGGAGTGAAGGAGGCTATCTATGTTAACAAAAAGAAAAAACAACCTTAAACAGAGGGGGGGGTGTACTCAGATTTCAGCTTTCAAAAACCTACAATGCAGCGATGGAGTTGATTTCTTCCCGCTATCATTGCAGCCCCAACCCCTGTACAGGAGAGCAGAAGACCTCGCCTATTCAGTCAGGCCAAAAATTCCCTCTAATGACCCCCCTTTGAGAGACATAGACAGGTATGGGGCAGTGCAGGCAAAAAAGAAGCCAAACGACCCCAATTCCAAAGGGGTGGACCCGTTCATCCATTTTCATTTGCATGTTTTCTAAAATAAAACAAGGCTTTGTTGGGCTACTGGATAAAACCTGGAACTCAGCGCTATTTCTGACATTTTGAATTGAAAACGCTTCCTGGATGGGATGAAAATCCAGTGGAACTTTTTTGGAATGAGTATTGGGTAAATCTCTGACTCCTGTGAGTAATTTGAACTTTTCCACAATCGGGTAAAACTGATTGCGGAAACCAAAATAGACACTTCTCACTGTAAGGGTTGGTATTCAGAATTGTACGTGGAAAAAAATGTTTGGTTAAAAGTATTTGCTCTGCATGAATGTGTTCTTTTATATTCACATCATTTATTCATATTGTTTATGCATTTCGTTCTTTAAAATACCAAATTTTGCACATAAAGTTTGTCTGTATCATTTCTAAATAATAAGTCAGATGTTACACTGCAAGAAATTGAAATTTAAATAAGTGCATTTTGTTTTGAATAGAGGTGGTAAGTGAGACTCTTTGCCAATGGAACAAGACAATTTACATTTAAAATAAGAAAAAAATATAGAGTTATATATAAAAAGTTCTACTGGATTCACTTTGTATTCGTCTTTTTCCTGCTTCACAAAGGTAGGCAGCAGCTTGACAAAGCCATGATGGCAATTATTTTACATCCAAGTAGTATGCGGTTCTTCATATATACACACATCAATTTCAGACAGATGGTATCAGCATTGTATCGGTATCGGCCAATACTGCACAGCCAGGTATCGGGTGTCGGTATCTGGGCCAAAATATGGCATCGGCGCAACACTACTTATTATCCAACAATTACTCAGTACTCAAGTAGCCTTTACTCCAAATACTTTTTTTACTTGTGTAAACTTGCTGACGTAGTGCTGCTCTTACTTGAGTCCAGTTTCTTGGTCCTCTATGATCACTGTGTCCGCACAAAATTTGAATGAAGTCGACATAAGAACAATTTTTTCCTTTTGTGTTTTAGCGTCTTGGCATGTTTGGTCCCCTGCGCTGTGGAGAGATGTATGCCTTGGACAAGCTCCTGAGAGAGACTCGAGTCTTTGAAATCATCCGTGGCATCGTCAGGGAGGACCCCAACCGGCCCAGGCAGCCTGCAGAAGGTATGGGACGATCTGCTCGGCTTTAACGCACCGGAAAAAAAGCTAAATCTTTATAAGTCCTTTTATCCTAAAATAAGTGCATTTATTCCTGAATTGGGGAGGTAAGTACTTTGCCAACAGAACAAGACAGTTTACATTTAAATTGAGAAAAAACAATTGCATTGTCTTATTTCTGTCATGATGGGATTCAGGTTTCTAACCCACATGCAGAACACAACAGAGGCAGATGAAAAGTTTGACTGTTTATGTAGATAAACACAAAGTTATATGAATAATACTGAGAAGCAGATCCGGGACTGGTCACACAGGGTTCTCTGTAGAGAGGGACAGTTTGGTTAGCCAGGATGCTGAAGATCTTAGCCAGAGGAATTGTGCAGGTTTGTACCTGTGACGTGGTTCAGGTTAGCAGCTGAGGAGGGGAACCGGGTTGGGTCTAGAGTTGTCAAAAGTATCGATACTGAAAAGTTGTATCTGGATACAATTTTCATTTTCAAAAGTATCGATACAGTGCTACCACCAGTGGCACCTAAACAGCAGAGATGGGAAGTAACGAAGTACAAATACTTCGTTACTGTTCTCAAGTAGATTTTTTTGATATTTTTACTTTACTTTACTACTTATTTTTATGGCGACTTTTTACTTCTACTCCTTACATTTTTACACAAATATCTGTACTTTCTACTCCTTACATTTTTAAAAATTGGCTCGTTACTTTAGTTTTGAATCATTTCAATGGAGTTACGTTATTTTTCATGTCATTAATACCAAATTCAATCTAATTGGATGGGAATCTACGTTGCATTTGACGCACCACTACAAGATGAATCAAATCTTTGCAGCTTGGTGGCGGTGGCATTAGCATAGTAGTATGGACGACGAGATGATTGAAAATGAACACAACATAGATCTAGTCCTATTGGCAGACATCCATTTAAAATGTAGGCAACGGCATGAAAGAAGTGGTTTCTACTTTTACTTTTATACTTTAAGTAAATTTACAAGCCTGTACTTTGTTACTTTTACTTGAGTAAAGAAGTTTAATCAGTACTTCCACTTTTACCAGAGTATTTTTTTACACAAGTATCTGTACTTTTACTCAAGTACGGAAAGTGAATACTTTTGCCATCTCTGCTAAACAGTCATTCATCTAAAGTGCAGAATAGAAGAAAATGCACTTTCAGAACACTGTGTGATTGAATAATTTTGTGCACTTTTCGGTTTCAGACTTTTTTCTGTAACAGGTGCAGCTGCTGAGAATGATTTTTGTTTTTTAACTAGTTTGGCTAGTGTCATTGTTATGTGTGCAAAGCATAGCCAAGGAAGGAACACTTAATTTTAATTTTGTAAGTTTTTTATCAAGCTTGCTTAATATTGTGCACAGCATACAACCTCAAAATGTTGTCTATTGTATTTATTTATCTATTTATTGTATTTTGTTCATTAATGAGAACATTTCTGTTGAATTTTGGAGTCTTTGTTTTTATCCTTGCGGTATCGAAAATGACATCGAGTATCGAATGTTTTACTTAGTATCGGTATCGAGTTGAAAAGTTTAGTATCGTGACAACCCTAGTTGGGTCCAGAGGCTTGAAGTTGGCAGAGGGCTAAGCAACGGCAGGGCTTGACTTCAGACTTATCAGTGTTCAGATCCAGAGTTTTCTTCCGATCCTCTTCTTGAGGGCGGGCAGGCAGGTTCAGACAACTAGATTCTTCAGGTGAGCTCCTGAGAGCCGGCAGGCAGATTTCAGCAGATGAAACTCCTCCAGAGTTCCAGGGTTCAGTCAGGGTTCAAGTTCAGGTTTTCAGGGGAGTCAGAGAATCAGACAGGCTGGTTGGCTCAGGCTTTGCTAACCATAACTGGCTTAACACTCTGGTGCTGGAGTGTAGTCCTGCCGCTGCTTATATGCTGGTCTCCTGATGACTGATGGATCGCAGGTGTGGTTGTCAGCTCAGCTCCAGGAGACCTAGAGGCACCCTCTGCTGGAGGAAGGTGGACAGACCTCCAGATCCCAACAATTTCAAGTGCAAATTATTTAATTATTATCATTCCATTGGCAGATGATCTTATTGACCTTATTAAAAGTAAGGGTAATAAACTTAATTTAATAAATGTTGGCTTCTTTCTAGATTGGGTTTGCAGGGTACAATCTAAAGGATTGGGGAAGCAGGTGCCTTTAAATCTGAAAAGGGTTATCAATGATTTTAATTTAACATCTTGAGATGTTTCACATTGAGTTCTTAAAATGAAAAGAAGTGTGGACAACCTTGTGCCATGCCTTCATTGGACTGCTGAACAATGCAGTGGGAAAAAAAGTATTTAACTATTCACCCTAGTTAGATAAAAGTACACTATATTGCCAAAAGTATTTGCTCACCTGCCTTGACTCACATATGAGCTTAAGTGACATCCCGTTCCTAATCCATAGGGTTCAATATGACGTCGGTCCACCCTTTGCAGCTAGAACAGCTTCAACTCTTCTGGGAAGGCTGTCCACAAGGTTTAGGAGTGTGTTTATGGGAATTTTTGACCATTCTTCCAGAAGCGCATTTGTGAGGTCGCACACTGATGTTGGACGAGAAGGCCTGGCTCTCAGTCTCCGCTCTAATTCATCCCAAAGGTGTTCTATCGGGTTGAGGTCAGGACTCTGTGCAGGCCAGTCAAGTTCATCCACACCAGACTCTGTCATCCATGTCTTTATGGACCTTGCTTTGTGCACTGGTGCACAGTCATGTTGGAAGAGGAAGGGGCCAGCTCCAAACTGTTCCCACAAAGTTGGGAGCATGGAATTGTCCAAAATGTCTTGGTATGCTGAAGCATTCAGAGTTCCTTTCACTGGAACTAAGGGGCCAAGCCCAGCTCCTGAAAAACAACCTCACACCATAATCCCCCCTCCACCAAACTTTACACTTGGCACAATGCAGTCAGACAAGTACCGTTCTCCTGGCAACCGCCAAACCCAGACCCGTCCATCAGATTGCCAGATGGAGAAGCGCGATTCGTCACTCCAGAGAACGCGTCTCCACTGCTCTAGAGTCCAGTGGCGGCGTGCTTTACACCACCGCATCCGACGCTTTGCATTGCACTTGGTGATGTATGGCTTGGATGCAGCTGCTCGACCATGGAAACCCATTCCATGAAGCTCTCTGCGCACTGTTCTTGAGCTAATCTGAAGGCCACATGAAGTTTGGAGGTCTGTAGTGATTGACTCTGCAGAAAGTTGGCGACCTCTTCGCACTATGCGCGTCAGCATCCGCTGACCCCGCTCCGTCAGTTTACGTGGCCTACCTCTTCGTGGCTGAGTTGCTGTCGTTCCCAAACACTTCCATTTTCTTATAATACAGCTGACAGTTGACTGTGGAATATTTAGGAGCGAGGAAATTTCACGACTGGATTTGTTGCACAGGTGGCATCCTATCACAGTTCCACGCTGGAATTCACTGAGCTCCTGAGAGCGACCCATTCTTTCACAAATGTTTGTAAAAACAGTCTGCATGCCTAGGTGCTTGAATTTATACACCTGTGGCCATGGAAGTGATTGGAACACCTGATTCCAATAATTTGGATGGGTGAGCAAATACTTTTGGCAATATAGTGTAGATCCATCGATTTTACTCATTCTGCACTTTATTTTCATATCTTCGCAAAGAGAGAACAGTTCATCATATGGCCCCTTATTGCACTTTAATCAGCCCTGTTTTGATCTGGGCAGTGTTCGTTTCCCCTGACTTACAATAATGAAAACTAGTCAGAGTCAAAACAAATTACAGACACTTTGATTAAACATTAAAATGTTATGAATAAACCTTGAGAAAGAATCTGTCTTGTTCTGTGAAGAAGGTGTGTCATGTCTACAAACACCCCTCCCTCAGGCATTGTTTGGCCTTGCCTATGAAACAGATTGAGTGAAAACATTTCTAGTGTGTATATAGGATAAATTTATATGTGAAATAAGAGAAATCAAAATTTTCCGACCACAACAACAACAGACTTCAGAGAGTTTTTCAGACCTGCTCCAAGACAGCGATTAACATCTGCAACGCCATGAATATTGAATTAATTTTAATTCCATCACTCAGGATTAAAACTAGTTTCTCACCAGTGGAAACATGTTTCATTGCTCCCAGTCCTCCCAGTGATAATCTCATTGATTCAGCTCCAGGTCAGACTGCGCAGAGCTTCGTCTGAACCTACAGAAGACCACGCAACGCACTGAAGCTCATACAAACTCAACATTTCTGGTGGTTTGGACATTTGATGAGGACGTCTCGCCATCAAAGATAGTTCTGTAACATTGCTTATTTTCATTAAAGCTGCAGCGACAAAAACACCTAAACAGACCTCATGTCTGTAGAAACAAGACATCTTCCCAGTGGTCAGGCAAACAGGTGGAGGGCTCAGGGTGTTGGACCAGGACACATTCCAGTCATTAAGTCGACCACCAACCCTGATCCACTCTTTAAAATAGTATAGAGAAGAACCAACATCCTCTCTTGCCTAAATGTTGGAATTTTTTTTGTGTTCTTAGAGATGCACTAAATCTGACATGGTGCCAAGACAGAAAAAAACAATCTGATAAGATGACCCAATGTTCAGAATCAGACTTGAATGTACTGAAAAAGAGGGACCTGGAGAGTTTCCTGCAAACCTCTAAGAACAATAAAAAAGGGGCCATATCTGTCTGTGATGATGTGAGAGAGAGTCAAAAAAAAAAAAAACTGCTGAGATCTGACAATTCCAAAAGCATCAAACAAGGGTTCTGAATGTTTTAACTTTGTCCTGCCGAGTTCATCAGTGAAACCCTCAACGTTTTCTGACTGAACAATTAGAATAGGTCATGACATGCATGGACCGGTACTCCTCGTTTAATGAAAGACAAACCCACAATGGCCGCAGAAATAACTTCAATCTGACAAAAGTAGCAATAAACAAATTCTATCAAAATTAACAAAAGTCAAACATTGCGTTTCAACAATGCAGTAGTAGCCTTTCAAAATTTCCCTACTTTCCCTGGCTGGTCCTTGGCTTGTCCCCTACAACTCTTTTTTAGACATCAATCTTTGTACTAAAATTTTCTTTCCGTCATGATTTGTGGACATTAACATCTGAAGAAAAGCGCCATCTCCTGGTCAGACCCTGTAATTCAGTGAAAGGGTGGAGTCAGAGTAAAGAAATATGGATGCCCAGGAGAAGGCCGGTGGCTGGAAGTTGGAGGGGATTTTTTTGCGACCAATCGGCTGTCTTTTGACTGGGAAGGGCCATTTTGAACAGCTGCTACTGTACTCCATCAAGTGGTTTTTAAAAAGTGAACTCATGAAACAGGCCTGGACAGAGATGCTTGTACCCTTAACGTCCTAATGACTCAATCGCTGCAATCAGATTTCACTTGTTAAGGTAATTACCATTGAAGATGTCTGAGTTTATTACACCTTGGTATGGGCTGCCTGTTGCGTGTCAGAACTGATGTTTTAATCTAATTAGGTCCGTCTGGATATACAGTTATAATCTTCATTCTGTATGTGGCAAAGATTTGGAAATGGAATTAGAGCGGCGTCCTTTGCTAAGAACAAAGTGTAATATTTTGTTAAGGCTGGAGCCATGGATGTCTAATCATCTACTAATGTCTATGATGTAAAATAAGATGATGTTGCAGATTGGAGATGTATAAAATGCCTCTTTAACTGTTATTCGGGGCCACTTCCTGAGAGGGGAACAGCTGCCTTCTGTAACTCAAAGCAACTTCTCTGATCTGAGTAAGAGTAAGAATTTCTATCAGAATCTGTTGTCATGTCTCCTGGTTCTTTAATACATATAAGCTATGAAGATTTATTTAAAGAGTTTGTCCCTAGTGATCTCTTTTCAAGGAAAAACCAGAGAGATAGAGCATCAAGGTGCATACACAGATTGAGACATCTGCTCCTTCCAGCTGCTATTTTGGCCTACTCCTCATCTATTCGTCTATCATCTGTTTATCATTAGCATTTATTTAAGTTATTTATTTATATAATAATTATCTATACTATTATTATGTTTAGGCGTGAAATAATGAGGAAATTAGAATACCCGCTAATTGTAGTTCTTACAGCATCCATCAGATGGCGCCATTCAACACTTTATCAAATGTATGGAGCATGGTGTTGAGTTTTGGCCAATTGGGTCAAATTGGTTCTCGGGGCTTGGTAAATTACCATCACCAAATTAAAATCTCTGAATAATCTATGCAGTTGTATTCAGAGGAACATCAGCTGCTTGGAGATTATCTTACTTTTACCTTAAATATTCTTGTCTATAATTTTCTTCCTAATCTCCATAGAAAACTCTTTCCTTTGCTTCTTCTGGTCCATGTTGGGTATATTACACACCATGTCACCAGACAGCACAGTTACCACCTGTAGTCCTATACGTAGGCCTATTGACTGATTACAAGGTTGTAGGGAGCTGTGATACTCACTAGTGAGCATGCTCTAATTTAACATGTCCCTTTGCTCACAATGTTCTTTAGTCTTTTCTGGGAGGAACAATGATTTTTAGTCCAGGCCTGTTTCATTAGACATTTTTAAAATTATGCTGTGGAGGATGGTTGAAAGGATTTTCGTTTGTTCATTTTCATAGAATTCTTATTAGGACTTTTGTCAGAAATACGATATTTCTTCGAGTTATGCTGATTCTCAGTCATCCAGGTCATAGTCATTCCAAAAAAGTTAAAAAACAATCCAAATTTATAAAGTAGCTCAACAAAGCCTTGTTTTTCTTTAGAAAACATGAAAATTGAAACTGACGAACAGGTCCACCCCTTTGGAATGTTTCATGATTTAACTAAACATCAGACCCAAATGCAGAGAAACCATTATAGAGAGACCAGGGACAAAGTTTAACAGGTTTATTGAGAAGCTTGTGGAGATTCCAGTGTTGCTCTGAACACTGCTCAACCAGAACTGAAAGGTGAGGGGAAGACACTGCGGTTAGTTCAGGTTCAGTGGGAAAATTGATTCTCAAACTTGCAGAGGAGAAAAGGTTTGCAGACTCACGTTTCCAGAAAAGTGGTTGACTCTTGACTGCAGTCGTTGTGGGGTGTTCCAGTGTTTGTCTCAGTAGGTGGAGGGCGGACAGGGTTTACACAAAATGCGGTTGTTTGTAGGAGAATGGAGACACTGACTGCCACTCAGATTTCCTGCGGTACTTGAACGGACTGTGGTGCAGATGAATCCCTTGCTCAGTGTGAAACTCAAACGATCCCTTGGAGAAAAGTGGATCCAAACCTCCAGTTTGTTTCCTCAACTCAGTTTGAAGCTCAGGTGATCCTTCCAGGGAGAGAAGGCCCGAAACGTCCAGTTTGCAGGATGACTTGCTGCCGAAAGGCAAAGACAAAAACAAGATTAAAACTCAGGTTGACAAAAACTCTGTTTTACTCAGCAAAACTCAGCTTGGCTAGAGTACCCAAAACTGGCAAGCACTCTGGTGCCGAGGTAGTGGCAGTCAGCAGCTTAACAGCACTCCGTTAATGAGATAACCCTTTGCAGATGTGAGAGGAGGTGAATCAGGACCACCGCCTGGTGGAGGAAGCAAGACAAACACACAAAACACAAACCACACAGACAGTAGTCCTAACAGAATGGGCTGTTTCTGAATTCAAAAAGGTTCCTGGATGGGAAGAGAAACCTCTCCAAACTTGGGAAAAAAGTCCAGTGGATTGTTGTTGTTTTTTTTTTACTTTTTTTGGAATTCTATTTCTGTTTGTTTTGCTTTGATTACATATCTACATGAATTGGAAAATGGTGCAGCTTTCCAGCAGAACTTCCAGCTGGCTGTATGAGGCAGTCCTGGTTGTGCCTCTAAAACTGAACTAATCTACTATATGCAGTTAAACCTCCGCCCCATGCAGTGGTTAAGCTGTCCCTCTGCTGGTTCCTGTGTTGCAGTGATCCCAGAGCTGGGCCAGTGCTTTGGAGCCTTGGGTCTCTGGGAGCGGTGTGCAGACCAAGGCACTGTGTACTGCGTCTCTGTTGACAACCTTCTCTCTACGCTGTCTTCTTCGTACTCCAGCGTGCTACATGACCGGGCTGATGCAGGTAGAACCCAGAGAAGGTGGAAAATGCATTCTGTGTCTCTATACTTTGGTATGAGTGGTTAATAAATGTTTGCTTTTTCAGTGATTTGGTGCCTGGTGGAGCGGATTTTGGACCAGAGGTTACCGAGACGAAGCCCCAGGGATGGGCAGATTGTGACAGTATTTCAGCTGTGGAGTTATTTGGAGTCCAACGGCATCAATGACATGGAGATGCACATCTCCGAGCTGGCAGAAGAGGGTATACACACACTCTGAAACTAATGTTTGTTACCATGCTATCTAGAATATCAATGAAACTTTTCACATAATTTTACCTTAGCGAGTTAGCTGCACTGCAGGAAAGTAGCTGTCCAAGATTAATGTCGTTATTGAAAAAATACAATCTTTTTAATTGAACCTTTAAAGTTGTAGGGAAGTCATATTTAAATGTAAAATCATTCTGGCTTAAACATGTATGTAAATGTACTCTTTATCAGACAATTGTCCCAAAAGTTAGAAAATTTCTATTTTAAAAAAATCCTGTCTTAAAATCCGTGTTTTTTTTCTCGTTATCTTCTGCAGGCCAGTTAGTTATACGTCAGCCTGAACACCTAAATTCGGCCAATCATATATCAACGGTCATCTGTCAATCAAATGTTTTCGGTCATAGCATCTGGATTCATATGTCGCAGCTAATATAGGCAAAGGTTGAAATAAGAAATCAGAATCCTTTCCTTTTCCATTGAGTTCCGTCCCAGTGTTCATGGGGATGGACGTCTGTGTCTTCAGCAGGCGTAGAGCTAACAGAACTGGCAGCGTTGCGAGGCAAGGGCTCAAACATGTACGGCTGGAAGCTTTCTACACCAAACCAAGCTTCTGCCGTCCTGGCGTCCTCTTCCCCAACATCTTCGTCCCCGCTTTCCTCCTATAAATAAAAAATGGATGACGGAGGAGACTCATCCACGACCTTCGACACTAAACTCTCCTCCTCTTTCATGTTTCCTCTGTCCATAGCGTTCCTTGACAGTGTCGTTTCTAAGTCACCAATTTAGTGCTACTTGGTCCCAATGGAATTTCCCATTGGGAACCTACTAGCACTAAGTTGCTAACTGGTTAGCAAGATGCTTCCGACAAACCGACCACAACCAAACGTGCTTGCAAACCTGTCGCCACAACAATCCCTCCCCCTTGATAATTGACCAATCACATTCACTTTATTCACCCGTGTAAAGTCGGGCACCACTCAGGAGAATTCAGAAATGCAACGATTTGACCAGCCGCTTCCCTGCGACTTTAACTAACTTCGTGGGAGTTCAGACAAGAAGAAACGGATCATTTATAAAATAGTCTGATTTCTGAGAAAGATTTCTGATTTTTCTGCTGAAATTCCAACCGTTACCTGAGGCGACTGAAGGGTTGCTACTGTAGGTGGAGATGGTGACCTCCTTTATCTTAGTATAAGTCGGGTGATGTGGAGCAAATTGCAGACAGGGAGGCAGAGGCAGCGTGTTGAATGGAGAAGTTTCAATAAATGAAAATGAAAACATCCCTACGTGGGGATATTCTTCTTGTGACAAGGAAGGAGCCACTATGCCATGTTTGGAAAAAGGCTTGGCATGTGGCAACCGTCCCAGCATGGCATAGTAGAACGGAAAATACCTGTATGGAATGAATGAAAATGATGACCTCAAATTATGGCAAAACCTAAACAATAAAAAAAGATGAGCCTAAATGAAAACCAGAACCAAACACCTGAAGACCTTCACAGTATGAGGAAAACATGAAACTCATAAACTCAGACACCTCTCTGCTGTTTCCTGAGCCTCCATGAACGGATCAGAGGAGCTTAAAGGCTTGTTAAACCCTGAGTGAACTCTGACTGAGAATAAAATT